TTTTTTACTACCAGAACAAAAACTAAATATATATATATATATATATATAAATAATAAATACACACACACACAGTTTTAAACGAACAGTTTAATACTGTACACAGCAATGATGATTGTGAAGCTTGGTTGAGGTGGTGAAGTAAGAGGGTGGGATATTTCCTGGGGAATGCCTTACTGCTAAATGATGAACTAGCATTCAGCTTAGCCCTTAAGGGTTAACACATTGTTAATGTAGCCTCACATTCTACAGGGCAGCACAAATGGAGGGAGGGGAGACAGCATGGTAGACAGAGAGACACACCCTGTGTGTGTGGGGGGGAGAGAGAGATGCGCATTGCCCCTTTATGTATGCTGACCCCACTCTTAAGTACATTGCCTCTAAAAAAAATCAGGAAATCGAGACAACAGCTGCTGCCAGCAAGCTTTCTCTGTCCTGAGCCCTGTCCTGTCCTCACCCTACTCTATATGGAGAAGAGGTAAGCGGGGGGCAGGAGTAGGGGGGAATGGGACACCCTGACATTAGACCCCCTCTACCGCCCTTCTCTGCACAGCAAGCAGGAGGCTCCTGGGAGCAGTTCCAAGGCAGAGGGCAGGAGCAGCACATGGCAGTGGAGGGAGGGACAGCTGAACTGCTGGCAATTGGTAGCCTGCTGGGCAGCTGCTGCACAGGGAACTTAGGGGAGCGGGGAGCTGATGGAGGGGCTGCCAGTCCACCCTGGTTCCAAGCCCCCACCAACTAGCTGCAACGGGCTGCTCTTCCTGCAAGCAGTGGACAAAGTAGGTGGCTGCATTGCACAACTTTAAACGAGCATGTTTTCTAATTGATCAGCAACGAAACAACGTTAACCAGGACGACTTTAAATGAGGAGTTACTGTAATGATATTTTTTTAAAAGAACACCTATTTGTGGCTTAAGCTATGTGAGTGTTCCTAGCTAGAGAGTCTCTTCCTCCCAAGTGTCAGACTGACTTTCCTAATATTAATGTTATAATTTTCTATTTATATCATGGTAGTACACAAAAGCACATGAGCTTTAAATGAGCAGTTGGGTCCATCATACCATTTGCTGTACAAACACTAAGGAAGAGGACAAATAGTTTTGCAGGAGCAAAACATCAAGGCACACCTATTAAAGTTCATAGTTAACTTTTGGTTGATATTTATGTTCTCTCAGTCTTTGCTTCCATTTCCTATTGGAAGACTGAGGTATTCTGGTGAAAAGAAC